TGTAGGCTGGTTAAGAGGGTTTTTTTTCCAGATGGAAGAGATCAACTGGAACTATCATAGACCACAAAGTGTGATCCTCCTGGATTGCTCCTTGACTGGCATGATGGCCTTGTGTTTCTGTCTCAAAGCAGTGTTGGATGCAATCATACATTATCATTAAGCTCTATCTAAGAAGGTCTAACCTTCATCTACCAATTATGCAGGTCTCAGGGAGCCCCACCTAAGTTTTGAAGTGTGGTTCCAATAGGCCATTCAAAGTTCCAGTGTGACCTTCAGCCTGGAAAAGTTGTCCATCACTTGTGTAAGACTAGCTTAAGCTAAAGGAATGAAATGATCAGAATAATTGGAGACTTCCCTAGTCCTATATATGCCACAAATTCATGTCAGCCTCTTCATTTCCTCCTCTCCAGAACATTGATATGAATCCTGGGCCCGTAAATTGTCACTTTGGCCATTTAAAGCAGCCTGTTTCAACCTAGCCTTCTCCGACCAATGTTAGGAATTTGGGGACTTGTTATCCCAACACATCTGAAGAGCACCATTTCAGGAAGAGATGTCTGAAGCTCTAAGAAGTGGCCCATGGAGCTCCTGAAGTGTTCTTGTCGCATATCCAGTTTCTTGATTCTGAAATAGCATTCCAGAATGTATCCATGGATGCCTCTGTTCACGGCACAAGGAAACAATGACTTTAAGGAATTTTCCAGGGAGGCTGAAACCTGATTTCTAGGGGAGGATTCAGTATCAGTTGGGTTACAATGGAGGCTGAGTTCTCAGACACAGATTACTCCAGTCCTTGGCTACAGACTTCACACTGAAGATCTTGCAGCCCAAACGTCTTAAAAACATAGCTCAGTGGTATGATTATCGTACAGTCTCTTGGGGGGGGGGGGGACCCACCCTGGAATTCTTGTGCAGTATTATTATTGCACTTTGGGCTGTAGACACAATTCAGCCCAAGCAAAACAAATTTGAAGTTCAGAAGAGGGGAAGGGTTCATCACACATACTAGGTTATGGTTCATTCTTTCCGGGAAAAGGTTGTTCCCACTTGCCATTTTCATAGCAAAAAGCTGCTGACCAAACATTTTGATTTGGAATGTCTGTGGGTTTTATTACAAATGGAGAGGGAGAGAGAAATAAAACCATAAATATCTGAAAAATAGTTGGGGAGGCAAGAAAAATAAAACCCACCTGAATGGCATTGAGCTAAAAAATGCTGACTCTTCACTGTGCCCAATCAACCTATATATTATTCCATTTTTCATTTATTTGTGGAGGTTCTGATCTTATGAGAAATATGCATATTGAGATCTGGGCAAAAAGTAAGGAGTGGGCTCCATGGATAATTTACAGCTACAAACTGGGCAGGACTCTATTTAAAGAAGGGTTTACTCGATGGAGTGGCGAGTCTCAGATATTTCACCTCTGCTTTTTTGGGTCCTTGGATTATAGATAGGAACAAGGGTGACACTCACTCCTTCTTTTGCGTGCTGGATCACTTCCGGGGAAGTCTTGTAATGGATCACCATGTTTATGGTGGTGTTCCATTCCTCCAGGAGTTGCTGAATTGTGACTTTAGCTGCTCTGCACTGATATTATCCTCCTTCAGCTCAGTTTTTTATGGATTAAAGATGGAGCAGGGAAAGAGCTAGCTTCTCTGTTTGGGGGCCAGGGAACCATGGCATTCATCAGGAAAGAAAAGCGGGGGGTTGATTGGTGCTTTCGAGAAGTGAGGAAGAACATTGGCACTGTGACATCTATGGCAGTCATCTTCCAGTTTTGCAGCACTCCATATCATACTCCAGGGTTCATTAAACAAACAAACATCCTTGAGTAGAAATTCTTAATCCATGAATCCCTTTTTCACGCTGGATATTGTTACTTCAGCTGACTGAGCTCCTATTAGTGCCAAATGTCGCAAACTAGAGGAATGCAGCTAAACATGACATTCTGATAAGCTACAGGAGGGAAAAAAAGTTTTGTGTTTTCCTGGTCTTGAGATAACCTTGCTTCGTAGGACTAAGACTGTCTCTAATTCAGCAGATGGGAGGGTTGCAACGATGCAGGATGTCCACCTGCCAAGGATTGGTTACATGCATTTAGCAAACCAAATTGATTTGTAACTTATGGGCTGTTCTCCTGCCCACTATGAAGTTGGTTTCCTGCACATGGTGAAATAGCTTCTTAATGGGTGCCGGGGCTGGGCAGATGTGGCTCACCACTTAATCTCAGCAGTGCTAAAGAAGGAGCATGGATGAATAAGACTTTTGAATTCCAGGTGGAATACTCTAAAATCTATCTTTCTGCACCAACCCAATTTCTATTTCAACAGGAAAAGGTTACTGCTTGAATGCTTTAAAAGTGGCTGAGAATGATTTTACTCAATGTCTCTGGTCACGTCTCCATCCCGCTGCTACTGTTGCAGGAACCACATTCTTGGCTGTTCTTGAACAAACTAACTAGAGACATACCTGGTTAGTCCTTGGATCAGAAGCCAGCCAAAAATCTCAGGATTGGAGACTGGATTGGAAAAGCAAAATATCCTGGGAGATTTTATTGGCTATAGCTTTGTGGAAAGGTCTAATCTGCACAAGGAACTTATCAGCAGAGTTGAGTTTAGACATAAACCAAGCAAGTAGTTGAAAGGGGCCTCTCAAAATTTCAGAATTCTTCTCATTCCTTACCGTTTTATTACATTTTCGTATATGAAAGTCTCCGTAAATGGGTGGTAGCTATGCTCTACAATCGGTTTTCTATCTCTGCAATTCATTCTTCCTACAGTCCTCTTGCAGCTAAGAGGTGCATGGTCCCCTGTTACAGAAAGGGTTCTAGGTTCATCAAGAATCTTGGGACCCCTGGATTCATTTCCTTCAATTGTTATGCCTACCCTAAGGGGTGACCAGTATTTTCTGCTGCAGTAGAAATTCATAAATCGAACCCAGTCAGGTAACCCACAAGCTTAAGATATGCTTGCAGGACGATAAGTTCCAATTTCATAATCATTTGTCAGTCAGTTAAAGAGGGTGTTTTTCAGAGAGCTGATGAGTAATTGCACCATGTGCATGAAAAGAGGGATTGGTGATTTAAAGCCATCTAATGTCCCTGTCCCCACCATAAAATGATTCCATTAGGGAAATGGTACTGATTATCTCTCTCCTGTGAGCTGGGTTCATCAATATGCCTTCCTTGGGTGTCAAGCTGTTGATCAAAAACCACCATAACAAATCCTTCAAAAATCCATTGACTCTCACATCCAGGATGAGAGCTGAGGGTGATCTAGAAAGTTATCTGAAGGCTTCTAGCTCTGTGTGAGGGGTAAATTAAGGGTATGGGTGATTTGCCCTCTGCTAGATTTTTGAGGATCCTTCCTGGAATGTTCAGATTTCAGTGAAATTACGAGGAATAAATCTCTAGCTTTTTAGAAACAGGCGTGGACGATGTGTGGCTGTCCAGCTAATGCTGGGACTGCAGGAGCCATCTTTTATTATCAATGGCCATGCTGGTGAAGGTCCATATGACAACATGTGGAACACTTTGCCTCCTGATAAATTTATTTATTTATTTTGGTGCCTTTGAGTCAGTCTTGACTCCTAGCGATTGCCTGGACAAGTGCCTGCAGTTTTCTTGACAAGATTTCAGAAGTGGTTTGCCATTGCTTCCTTCCTAGGGCTGAGAGAGAGGGACTGGCCCAAGGTCACCTAGTTGGCTTTGTGTCTAAGGTAGGACTAGAACTCACGGTCTCCCAATTTCTAGCCTGGTGCCTTAACTACTACACCAATCTGGATCCTTTTTTTGATGCCTTAAAGTCAGTCTTGACTTCTGGCTGGACAAGCCCCTGCAGTTTTCTTGACATGATTTTTGGAAGGGGTTTGCCGTTGCCTCCTTCCTAGGGCTAAGAGAGAGAAATACTGGCCCAAGGTCACCCAGCTGGCTTCGTGCCCAAGCCAGGACTAGAACTCACAGTCTCCTGGTTTCTAGCCTTTTGCCTTAACTACGACACCAAACTGGCTCTCTCTCATGATAAAACATACAATAAATATTTAATCCCAGCCCTCCCCAGTTTGGGGTGGCTTATGAACCCTCTAACTCTCAACTAGCATGGCCAATGGTCATGCTGGCTGTGAAGTCTAGGACTGTAGCATTCCTCAGGCATCTGAACAATACCAGGCCATTCAATGAACACTCTGTGGATACCATGGCTGCTGAAGAGGACACCCATGAATCTAGGACACCTTATTCATAATCTCTTAAACAGACCTAGTGGAATGTCTTGAAGAACAGCTTCAGGGAGCATCAGTGTGGTTAGGTACAGATGAGGAAAGAGATTCCATCTGTTTCAGAAGCAGCTGTGCTTCTTGGCAGAGCATTCCATTAGAAGCACAAGGAGAATCTCCCTTGGGTCGAGGTTGACTCCTAATGAACACAGGAACATCTTGTTTTCTTGGCTCCAGCATGACAATGGCTTGCTATCCCATTCTTAAAGGATGTATTTTTCAACTTCCTAGTCTACCTTGCAGCTCCTAGGATTCCTGTGGTCTTGCATCCAAGGGCAATGCAGATCCAAACTTTTTCAAGATCAATCAAGGTCCTTCCCAGCTTTCCTTCACAGGATTAGAGGGGAAAATCTTGAGATTTCATTATGAGCGACATTAATAAAAACTATTTGTTTTCGGTATTTTTCTACTCAGCGACCCCTTATTCAATCTCCACTGAAATTTCCAGAAGTGTAGCAAAGGCTAATTGTCATATGCTGTGTAAATAATTGTATGTTTTATTCTCTTCCGATTTTACATAGAATGTTATTACCAATCTCCTTCTGGAACCAGCTTTCTCTTATGCACTGTATAAATCAATCAAGTCATTCATCCTCTACCCACATCACCTTATTACAGTCATTGCAACCCCTAGGATACAGAATTCTGCCTAAGATCTCCCCTTGCTTGAAACAAAAACCCTGAATGATGAACACAAGGGTCAAAATCCATTCTTTGTATCCTGCAGATTGACAGCTAAAGCAGTTGCTGTTCTACTCCCTATCTTGGGAACTTCATGGATCTTTGGAGTCCTGGCAGTGAATGACCATACGTTGGTGTTTCAGTACATGTTTGCAATATTTAACTCGTTGCAGGTAGGTGGAATAAATGCAGCTAAAATCCTGAAAAAATCCTGAAACTAGTATTCCTGGTATTAAATAAGCATATCCTTTTCCCCATCTCTGTTTGGGGAAATTTCCCATTTCTGTACATGAGGTTCTTAGGAATTTCAGAAGCTGCCTGATATCTTGTGCTTCTCAACATAAAATGATGTGAATGGTCAGTCGGGTGTACACATGTCTTAATATGATATAGTGGGACTTGGTATTATTTAACCCAGTATGGTAGCACAATCAGTGAAGCTAAATTAATGAAATCCAGATGTGTGCTATATTTGAATGCAACCACTGGCATTGTCAAGAGAAAGAAGGCTTAGATGTTTAGTCAGGTTGAGCAACTGTCAAATCTTTAGCAATCACCTACAACAAAAATGCAAGTTTCTCACAGTTTTCTTTAACTAGATTTATTAAAAGGGAAAAGGGATTCCATTACGAAAACCTTGGCATTTGGATATCTTTACTTTAGCACCTACTTTATTTCCAAGTTCATTAGGACAGACTTTTCTTGATCTTCTTGCTAGCCACATCTTGATGTGCTGGGGGGGTGGGGGGTGGCAGCTACCTCTTCCCCTGAAACAGGAAGACTGTGTAGATGTTTTGCACTTGTAAAATTTTGCAAAGCACAATCCTCTTTCCCAGGCTTTGAGAATTCCATTACATTGGTATTTTCAAAGAAACTCAGGATGTGGTCAAAAATGCCATTTCTTCAGCCACATCTCTCCTGGCTCTAAAAAGGTGCAGTTGTGCTTCTCCCAAATTCCTCAAACTATGGATGAAATGTAAATCCCACACTTGCAATTCAGCAACCTGACATCTCCTAATTACAGTAACTCATCAGCAAAAACCCCTCAACGTTTGATTTTTTGTTGCTGTACGCTACCCAGAGTCACCAATTGTGAGCAGAACCAATGGCTGTACAACTCCTTTAAATACATATACGTATACACTTGCTATGGAACTGCAATTCTCCCTGTTTAACTGTAGTAGCTCCAGTTGTCCTTTCTGACTTTTTCTGACTTTATTTTTTTAAATAATAATTTGATTTTACCATTTCAGGGGTTCTTCATCTTTCTGTTCCACTGCCTCCTGAACTCAGAGGTACGTTTCCACCACCTTTCAGGCAATAAAAGCCAGCGATGCTGGAATAAGAATATCCTTATGTATTTATTTAGTGGAAAAATACAATGATTTAAAGTTTCTGTTGTAAATCAGCCCTTGTGTTAGGAGAATGGGGCCATTTAATTATGATGCTCTAGGGAAAAGGTCCTTTCTTCAGCTCAGGAACAGGTATAGTTTATATAAATGGTATATTTAGCTGTCATCCTCACAATTTACGGCATCTTCAGAAAACTAGTCTGTCAAGTATTCCAGGCATTAAAACAAATAGCTGCTGCTCGTATACAGGAGGTTTTTGACTTCAACTGGCTCTATATATGGTTAAATCAGGGAAGTTCAACTTAAAGTCCTCAATATGCTCCCCCAAAGCCCCCGGTGTGGCTGCTTACATTCCTCTGAAACATTACCACTGAATTACCATTTGAAAATGCCAGAAGGGACATTATTAATTATATCAGGGATAACCATATCAACTGTACTGAATGGAATTTAATTTGGATTGCATTTATAAGTAAATTCCAGCAAACAGATTTTTTGTCCTGCCCTTATGCACTTCTTTCTCCTGGCCCAGCCTGTTTTGGAGGACACAGCTCAGGTAAAGATGGTCCCGTTTCCCAAATTGTGTGTCCTGGGTTAGGCCCAAGGTTGGCAACCTGGTGACCTCCAGATGTTTCAAACCAAAGCTCTCATCAGGCTTTTAAGGTAAATGTGAAGAAGTCAGAGTGCTGTAGTTCAAGATGTCTGGAGGCGAGTAGGATGTGTCCCTCTGCTTTAGATGCAAAGATCAGAACAAGCTTACCAACCATAACTATGTTTTGGCAATTCCAGAGGTAGGAACCTTAAACCCCAAATCTCCTGCCTTTGGCTGTGTGGAGAGTTGAGGTCCAAATCATCTGGAAGACATCAGGTTGCTATCTCCCCAAGTTAATTACATCCCAGGGAGGAACTTTTGGGGGCTTTCCTAGACTGGGAAGTGTGAACATCAAGGGTTCAAGATGTTCTAAAGATGGGTCTCAGAAATCTCCTCCACCATCAATACCACCTTTTACAACCTCCAGAAATCAAGTAAGTTTGGAAACACACATCCAGAGAAATGTGAAAGAAATTCCCAGGCATCATTAGGGGAAGGTAGATAAATAGAAGCTCCTTTACAGGGTAAGGAATGTTCTGAGAAATGGCAAAGGACTGTGTGTGTGTGTGTGTGTGTGCGCACACGCGCATTCAAGTCACTTTTGGACTCCTGGTGACTGCCTGGACAAGTCCCTGCAGTTTTCTTGGCAAGATTTCAGAAGTGGTTGTCCATTGTCTCCTTCCTAGGGCTGAGAGAGAGGGACTGGCCCAAGGTCACCCAGCTGTCTTCATGCCTTAGGCAGGACTAGAGCTCACAGTCTCCTGGTTTCTAGCCTGGTGCCTTTAACCACTACACTAAACTGGCTCTTTTTAATGCAGCATTATTCTTTATGGCCAACAAGAGCCACCTCGCTGATGCCAAAGAAAGGCAAGGAGAGAGAAAATTTCCTCCTCTGATTCTTCCCCCTCCCTGGATGCAGCCTGTACTTATTCTCCATGCCTTTCCTCACAGTCTAGATTTGATTTCTTTTCCATTGCTGGTGAGCATCCCTGAAGAGGGAGGGAAAGAACAGAGACAATTTCAGGTATTCACTACAAGGTCAAGTGGGCCATTTAGATCCCAGTTAGACAATAGGGGAAAATTATGCATTGCTATTCTAAGAAGACACCCTGAGTAACACCATTTAGTGGCACAATAGCTTCTCCTCATTGATGCAGCAATTAATACTTGTAGGTGGAACTATTCAATGTTTCCTTTTTGATCCCAAACCCAGAAATTTCTAACCCATCAGCCATCTCTCTGATGCCAACACAATTTATGCCAGACATTATTACGGACTCACCTAATCCATACACACTTGCTCTTCTGAACTACAGTTTAAAGTATTTCATACAAACATCCATTCTGGGTTCAGCAGAAGCTATCATGAAATGCATTTATTGTATGACAAAGTAACTGGAATCAATTTGACCCCAATAGTTGAGGGATAAGTATGTTGAATGAACCAGTGGTGGAACCTAGAAAGACACCCTGTGACATGTGCGTTCTGCAGAAGCATTTGGACTCAGTGGTGGAATTCCATTTCTTCTGTGTTTTGGAAACAAATAAGATAAAGATGGAGAAATGTGAAAGAAGGGTACACTTTTTGATTCAGATGGTGTTTTGGAAACAAATAAGATAAAGATGGAGAAATGTGAAAGAAGGGTACACTTTTTGATTCAGATGGGAAAATCTTTGACAGGATTCTTCCTTTCACTGCCTTACCCCGTTAAAGGTTTGTAGTTTGCTATAGAAATGGAAGAGAGGCAGCAAAATTGACACAAAATCATAAGGTTGGAAGGGACACTGGAGATCTTCCAGTCCTGTCCAGGGTAGGAAATCTGTTATCAGCCCAGGGAAATGGTTGTCCTACCTTGGCTTGAAAACCTCCGGTGTATTCCCTTCCAGGGCAAGAGAGGAGAAATGTATTTTAGATGTTATAATAGAGAAGGAGAAGGGATGAACATGTAGATAGGGATTCTTTGTGGGGGGGAGGGAGTTAATAATTATTTAAAGAGATTTTATACAATAATAAAAGCAAACATACAATATAAATTTAAAGAGAAAAAGAAGAAAGAAAGAAAGAAAGAAAGAAAGAAAGAAAGAAAGAAAGAAAGACAAGTGAAAAAGTAAAAAAAGTAATTAGAGGAATGAAAAGAAAAGAAGAAAAAAAGAAAATATATAAAGGATCCACTTCTAACCCTCTTTACAGCAGTTACAAATATATGTATCATCTATCCTCCTTCTTTAAAGTTACATCATAATTCCCTTCTTCCATATTTTTCCCTTTCTAATCATCAAATCCATAAATCACCAGTTCATTTTTTTTCCATTTCCAGCAAAAGGTCCATAAAGGGTTTCAGTCACTAATAAATGTTGCCTTCTCCCTAACCAAACCAGTGAATTTTGCCATTTCTGCAAGGTCCATCATCTTCACCAGCCATTCCTCCATTGTGGGTATTTCAGAATCTTCCCATCTTTGTGCATAGAGTAATCTCGCAGTTGCCATGTATAAAAACAATCTTCCACAAGTTTTTTCCAGTTGTCCCAACAAGAAAAATTCTGGGTAGATAGTGATTCTTGTTGATAAATAGTCTTCCTTAAGGATAGGCTACTAAATTAACCAGCGCGTGAGTCTGTAAGGTATGGCTGAACGTCAAAAGAAAACTCGCAAAAACTGTAGCCAGCTGACCAGACATTTTGGTCCAGAAGATACATTTTGAATTTTGAAAGCATGCTATGCAGACTGTCACAAAATGGCTGCTATTTTATGAAGAGCTGCCCCTTCATAAAAGGACTAGAGTGGTGGGCAAGACCAGTTCAAAGAAATACTCCCTGAGCAAAAGGCAAGCAGGGAAGATCTCCACCTTTCTAGGGTCTTCCTTGCTACTCCCCAGCTGATCTTTGCACTTTCTCTTCAGGGGCAGGTGAGCTCACTTCCAAGTAAAAGATAGTGATATGGCTGGTATCGTATGTCTTTCAAAGACGTCTTGGGACCAACAACCATGGTTAGAGACAGGGGTTTCATTTTGTAGCACCCCACTTCCGATTCATTCATTCTCTATTACAAGGTTCAAAAAGTTAACGTCAGGCTGATCAAGAGACTGGCACACCACTTGAAGCCTGTTGTATATCCCTACTCTAAGTTGTCTGTTGTTTCCCTATGCCTTTCATCTCCTGGGTCTTTCTCGACAAAAGAGTAGGTTGGAGCTACCCAGGCGAGCAAGGTCATTCTAGTTAGGAATCAGGCCTCCGTAGCCTTTGTGGGCGGCAGGATAACTTCCAGAGAATGGCCTTGAGAGGGGAAAACAAAAAATCCTGATGGAGAGCCAGAAAATTGGGGCTTTCAAGGCAGCTTCAGGAGCCCACGTCTTTCTAACATGGGACATCTTTCTCTTCCCTGCCCAGGTCAGAGCTGCCTTTAAACACAAAACGAAGGTGTGGTCACTCACAAGCAGTTCCACCCGCAACATCAATGTGAAACCGTTCAATTCTGATATTGTAAGTATTGCCAGAACCCCTCAGCCTTTGGTCTTCCTCCAAGGAGAGTGTAACCCCCGGATGAGCTTTCCCACCATCAGCCTTCTTCAGCATGAAGAGCTTCCGACCAGCCTGCTAGCGACAGATCATCAGTGTTTTATTCCAACAACACCAATGATCCACACACCCTGCTGACTTTGATAGAGTCATAGATCGATAGATAGATCGATAGATCGATAGATCGATAGATCGATCGATAGATCAATAGATAGATCGATCGATCGATAGATCGATAGATAGATAGATAGATAGATAGATAGATAGATAGATAGATAGATAGATAGATAGATA